GTCGGGGTGCGCAAAAAAAAAAAAAAAAAAAAAGAATGAAAATAAGAAAATACGCACATGCGGAGTAAACAGTTAATGACTAATCGCGAAGCGACTAAGGAAAAGGAGATAAGCAAAGCAAACACACGTGCTTTACACTTGGAGGGACTCTTTGGTCTCGCGCGTTTTGAAGGCATTCCCCTGGTGGAATTCTCTCCCAAACGGAGGACGCGAAATGGAGGAAGCCAAATGGAGGATGCCAAACGGAGGGGTTGTGTTCACGTTCTCGCGTACAGTTTTACACGCAGCTGCTTCGGTGCATACCCTTTTTGCGACCACGTGTGCGTGTCGGCAGGCGACTGCCAGGCGACATGTGCTGGACGTGTAAAGCATATGACCCCCCAACGCGAATCTTTAAAACGGAAAAAATCTCACACTTGGAGGTACCAAGGGTGTGTCTTTCCCCTTAAACATAGTTGCATGAATTTATTTACACAAGGCGAAAAAAAAAAAAAAAAAAAGTACCCTAAAATAAACATGCCCGTCGTGTCGCGCACAAAACAGTCGGTACTACACGCAGCGTATGCGTCACGACCTGTAGTGTAACACAGCGCGCACTCCATCCAGCAGAACGATTTATTCGCTACCGGTGGTAATTTTGCGCAACTTGTCACAACGTGGCTTGGCATGACTACTGGTCACGCAGTAGTTATGTCTCAGGGTGCATGCAGCGGAGCGGTGCCCCGTCGTATTATCCACACACCATCAAAGGAACATGCATTATTATATTTCCCCCTCCCGGGGAAGAGTGCACTTGCGGCTTTTCTCACTGGTTTGCATTCCTACTTGAGAAGGGGGGAGGCACCAACAACTGCTGTTTCCTCTTTTCGCTCGGAAGCACATGGGGGAAATTGGCAAAAAAAAAAAAAAAAAAAGGGCAGCAGCAGCGATTATATTAGCGATGTGATTAGCTAGTGTACATGCAAAGGGGAACGCACAGTGTGTGTAAGGGTAAACTAACAGTGGGGGGACGATTCTGTGCTACGCGCGCCGGACTTGCCCCATCCCATGCGTCATTTTTAGGTCGACGCAGACAAGTGGATGTTGCTTTGGGAGCAGATCCAGCGTCGTTCGCAAGTACGTGTAGAGTGGCGCCCCCGATCGGGTTTGTCTGCGCTGGCAATTCATCTATTGACCCGCAAAAAGGCACCGAGCGAGGAAGTCTGCGCAGATATAAGTGAGTACCTCCTCGGGCGAACCTTTCACGAAGCGGCATTATATGTATACAAAAATGCGTTATGATACACTCGCACAAGCAGCCATCATGCAAAGCATTTTTTTTTTTCCCCCTTATGTGTGTGGTAATTTATTTATGTTTGTGGTCATGCCGAGCTGGAGCATGCAAGGGGAATTCGTAGCAATTTTTTTTTTTTTTTTTTTTTTTTTTTTTTTTTTTTTTTTTTTTTGCAAACCGTTGGCATACCATGCCGATTGGAACATTTGCCATTTTCACTCTGTAGGGGCTTTATCCATTTTACGCTTTTTATGTAATTATTTTTTTAATTTTTTTTTATTTTCCCCATCAAAGTGCTTCCCCCCGCTTGGTGAGTGACCATTCGCACAGTTGGCCAATCTGCAAAAGGAAGCGACAAACGGGTATGCTTTTTACCTACACCGTGTTGCAAACGCCAGAAAGGATGATGACATGAGCACACTTGCCCGTGGAAGCAGAACATGGCTCCCCACGCCATCATTAGAGCAACCATGTCTGAAGGACAAATATGGTAAGAAAAAAATAAATAAAATAAAAGGACAATCATCATTTGCTCTCGTTTAATATACGTCCCATGTGGAGGGGGGCAGTGTAGAAAGGTCACCACTTGGTCGGGATGGAACAGACGCAAGAATTGTTCATGTGCGAGCCTCTTTTTTTTTTTTTTTTTTTTTTTTCACATTTGTGTAGCGCTAATTTTGTTTCCATTCGTTGTGGAACCCATTCCGTATCCCTTTTTCCGATGCAGAGTAACGGTCGAATTGGAATGCTTTTCCTGAAGAGGAAGTTTTCCCAAGCGGTCAAGTCTGCCCTTGACTTGAACAAGTCGTAAGAACTGCGCAGTGTGTGGTTCGAGTGTCCTCTGCTTTGATGCAGCGGCGCGGTTTGTAGCCGCGTCCTACAACACCCACCGCCACTTGGTGCCATCCATCACCGCCATTTCATGCCGCTGATCACCACGCAGAGTGCTCTACCAGGATGACGACTACCTCGTGGTGGAAAAGGCGTACGGAGTATCCACCTTCGGGCGAGCCCCACAAAAGGAGAGCATAATCAAAAGCCTGGAGGGGCTAAACCTAGAGGAGCATGAAAGCGCAAATGTTTTGTACAAGCTGCACAACCATGTGGGGGGGTGCCTACTGATCTGCAAAAATAAATTCATAAAAAATCACACCTATGGAAATACCTTCTTAGCATTAGTTTACGGTCATGTGGAAAATGCACAAAATGTTCAAATCAAATTGGGCCTCAAAAATTTGCCCAATTCAGGAATGATGATCCCCTCAAACGGGCATGACCATTTGAAAGACTTGAGGACGATTAAGTATGAAGTCATGAGTAACACCATTTCGTATGAGGCCCATAAGTTTAGTCTGTTGAAAATTCATACCACAGCAAAAGACGCAAAGTTCATAAAGCCTTTAATATTTTATTCGCTCTGCACCTGCATTGTCGGTGATAATGAATACATTGGGGGTTGGAAGAAGATGAGAAAAAATGGGTTCTTTGGTTACCGTGATGTGGGTGGTCAGGTGGAGAAAGCTAACCGCTTGCTAGTGAAGAGGCTACCTCATGTGGGCAAAAATAATGAGTTGATGCTACACCTGCATTGCTTAAGTGTGACCTTCCAGTCCACATGCAATCGAGTCGTGTCCGTCTTATCTCCACTTCCCCAACATATGCGAGAGACGCTGAACTTGCTGGGTGCGCCCTCACTAACTCAGGCCATAGAAACACAGGTGGAAGCCTCAAATGAATACTCCAGAAGGGTCAGTAAAAAACTTAGTTCCGTTGTGCACGCGCAGGAAGGCAACGTTCGAGGTGATAGGTTGAAAAAAAAGGAAAAGCATTTTCACAAAGATGCGCATGAGGGTGAAGATGAGGTAGAAGGCGACGGCACAGGCGAAGCCGATCTGTTCTACGACATGATGCAGGATGAGGGAAGACTGGAACGAGAAAATGAAAAACTCCTAAGTGAAATATATAGGCAAAATGAAAGTAAAAACGGGAAGCCCCGATCCGGGAGAGGAGTGCTGGCCAAGGATGTCCACAAGTTGACTCCCTCCGATGCGCCTATCTTTTTCGCAGATATGCAGTGAAAAGGGGGGGGGGAGGGAAAAAAAAAAAAAAGCTATTAATCGGGGAGGCATTTAAAAAGGCACTTGGTTTCTCGTCATAAAAGCGTGTAAAATGTTTTATCGCTTTGCCGTTTCATCTCGTCATCGCTCCACCGCGTCAGAACTCTGCGTGGCCAGGGTACCGCGGAAAGGGGATGGTGTCCTTAATGTTGTCGACCCCGGTGACGAGCATAATGAGTCGCTCGAACCCCAGGCCGAAGCCGGCGTGCGGGTGAGACCCGAATTTACGCAGCTGCCGGTACCACCAGTAGCTCTCCATATTTAGCTTCTTTTCAATAATCATTTTGTCTAGCAATTCCAAATTGTCTTCCCTTTGTGAGCCACCAATAACTTCGCCAATTTTTGGTACAAGCACATCCATAGCGGCAACTGTTTTTTTGTCCTCATTTAATTTCATATAAAAAGCTTTCAAGTCCTTAGGGTAATTATACACAATAACCGGTTTTTTAAAAATCTGTTCCGCTACAAACCTTTCGTGCTCCGATTGTAAATCCATTCCCCATTTGACCGGCACCTCAAATTTTTCCGAGTAAGGCAAAAGAAGGTCTATCACATTTGTGTAGGTTATTTTTGCAAAAGCTTCATTCAATACATTTCTTAGTCGACTGATTAGACCCTTCTCCACATTTTCCTCAAAGTAATATATATCATCAAAGTGGTTGTTGAGCACATACCCGATGCAGTACTTAATGTATGACTCGGCCAACTCCATATTGTCGTACAGATCTGCGAAGGCTATCTCGGGTTCTATCATCCAAAACTCTGCTAGATGTCTCGACGTGTGTGAATTTTCTGCTCGGAAAGTGGGTCCGAAGGTGTACACATCTCCCATGGAGGAACACAAATTCTCTAGGGACAACTGACCACTCACTGTGAGAAATGCCTGCTTGCTGAAAAAGTCCTTCTTGTAGTCGATCAAATAATTTGCGGGTTGCGCACCATGACTACCATCTGCACTACTAAACCCGTTCGCATTACCATGTGCCTGCACATCCTCCCGCTTCTTCCCTCCCTTCTCCGACTTCTTCACACGAGGAATGGCATTATAATCAGCGTCTTCCCCCAAAAGGGTTGTCACAGTGAACATCTCCCCACCTCCCTCACAATCAGAAGTTGTAATCAAAGGGGTGTGGATGTAGAGGAAACCCCTACTCTGAAAAAATAAATGAGTAGCAATGGCAAGGGCGTTTCTAATTCTAATAACTGAGCTAATGAAATAACTTCGTGGCCTCAAATGAGCTACTTCTCGTAAAAATTCTTTTCCATGGTTCTTTTTCGAAAGTGGGTATTTTTGAGGATCTAAATTTTCTCCATATATTTCAAAATTGTGAATAGAATTATCCTTTAAAGATAATTCTACATTTTCCTTTAAGAGTCCTTTTTTCCCTTCATTTTGAACAGGGGACAATATTAATGCCCCTGTGAATCTGAAACAGCACCCAACTCCACACTTTAGTAGCTTCTCGTAGTTGTCAATAGACTGATCAACAATTACTTGCAAATTCAAATGGCAAGAACCATCATTCAGATTCACAAAACAGAACCTACCTCCTCCTTGCTTCCTCACCGCTTTGCTCCAACCACACACAGTTATTATCTGGCCTATATATTTATTTTTCTTAGAAGAATCATTAAATTCAATTTCACTTTTGGGCACATTTAAGACGTTACAGATTCGTACTCTACTTCTACAGCTCGTATCGGTTACCTCAAGGAGGTTGCACTTCGGACTTAGTAATCCCTTAGATTGTGGTTTTAATTTTTTCACTTTTATCTCTTCTTCGCTGGCTTGTTGAAGCGCTTTGGCCTTTTGTAAAACTGCGTCATCTACTTGAATGTCCATTTTTTTTTTTTTTTTTGAAGGGGAAAAAAATACAGCTTTTTACAAGCACGACCAACCGACCAACTGCTGTTGGGGGGGTTCTCTTTCCGGTGGGGAGCAGTCGGGAATAAAACCTCTTAGCTTTGTTTTTATCACAGGGGTTGGGGGTAGGCTTACGTGAATCTCTTTTCCGCTTCGCAAAAACGTTCGAACATCAGCACAAGTTAGCCAAACAAGTTGTATGTCACTTGGAGCTTCTTCCCCGCGGTGGAGCACTGCACCTACGGGATGACCAACTTTTCTCTTCACATGGGTTCAAAGCTATCTCCACGCCTATCTTCACGTAGAGGGCCACAAACAAAAAAAAGTGGGACGCCTTTGAAACTTCCTAAATTGCTAACGTGATAACTTGCTACCTTTTGCTGTTCTTGTTCTTTATTTGTTAATTATTCTTCTATAGGGCAAGGAACTAGCATAAAGGCCAAATAAAAAAAAAAAAAAACAAAAAATAATAATAATAAAAGAGAAAACCTTTTAAACGTCACTCAATTGGGGGGCAAAAAAAAAAAAAAAAAGTACAAATACATATATCCTTTTATAAAACCGTTTTGCGGTCGTAAAAATTTCGCCACTCGTGGTCAGCACGTAGAGCGATGCGCGCACACTTTTCTCTTTCCATGTGGGGTATTCACTTCCGCGTGGGACAAAAGTGGGTTTGGATGCGGGGACAGGGTTCAATTGGAGCCTTGCAGAAAAGGCAGAGCTTTTTTCTTTTTTGATCTGCCATTCTATTCATCCTACCATTTCATTTTTGTTAAAAAAAAAAAAAAAAAAAAAAAAGAGGTGCACAATCGGTCATTCATTTAATTCAGTTTCCTTTCCCTCCCACTCCCTGAGGACATCCCCTACATTAACCTTTTTTCTAACACACTTGGCCCCCTTGATTTATTTCGCTTTACTCTTGCATGAGCTTGCTACACGTTTATGCATTAATATATATATATATGCTTATACGTATGTGTTTATTTTCCGCCTTTCCAGCGCAACGTTCCTTACGAGGTCGGCGTTACCCCTCTGGCCCATGGCTTCCTTGGCTCCGCCTCCCAACATTAACCACGTATGGACAGACCAGCCCTTGCATGTTCATCTTTGCGCTGAAAATTGTACCAAGTGGGAGCAGCTGTTCGGTTTGCTTAACAACTTTGAACGCCCATTGGGGATACCCACCTGGGTCGTTCTCCCATTCGTTTTTGCGAACGGGGTGCATACACCCGAGTACGAATAACAACAACGGGGGGGGATTAAAAAAAAAGAAAAACGGAATTCGGAATCATAGGATAATTAAAAAAAAAAAGGACGAAAACAAAACGGGGATACTTTTAAAAATGTGTTAAAAGACGGTGGCGTAGAAGCGGACGCGAACAAACACTAGCGCGACAGGAGCGGCCAATACGACCCGTGCCCGCCGCTGTCCACGGCCCACGTCTCGAGGTACATGTCCAAGTACTCGGACCAAAAAAAAAAGGACTTACGCTTACGCCTATTTCTATGCAGGCACTTCTTCAGCATGTACCTCACGGGGGGTGGGATGGCTCTGCTGATGAGCAGCTCCTTTCCGGCATAGCCAACACATGCAATAATGTCTAAGGGGTGTTTCAGTTCCCGAAAGGGTATCTCCCTATGTAGCATTTCCCACAGAATAACTCCAAAGGAATATACGTCTGCCTGTGGAGTGTATCCTTCTGCTCTTAAAATTTCTGGAGCTGTCCACTGGTAGGTACCAACAATTCCAAGAAACCTCGGCTTTTGAGAAAAGTTCTGTACAGATAATCCAAAGTCACAAATTTTGATTTGCCCCGACATAGACAATAAAATGTTTGATGATTTTAAATCGCAATGTAGAATACCCTTATGGTGGAGAAAGCACATAAAGGAAGCAATATCTTTACCCATTTTCATAATGTCTCTTAATTTTATTTTTATCTTATGCTTATGTATTAGGTCAAATATGCTTCCACAGTTTATATATTCTAGTGCTATTCCTTGGGGGGATTTTAGTGCACCCAAAAATAGGGAAACGTTCGGGTGCCTTAAGGTCGACAAAATATCCATTTCGGAACAAAACTCGTACCTATACTTTTTATTAATGATTATTTTTAACGCTATATTGTTTGTTGAATATCGCGTGCAAAAATAATCATCATTGAATGTCAATAATTTATCTCCATATATGCACCTGTACACATTGCTATAACCTCCCCTGCCTATTAAATTTAAGTAGTGTAATTTGTTTTTCTTTAGAAGGAATGCGTCCTCTTGGACGTTGCCATTTATTCGGTTGCTCCTTTTTCTGTACTTATACTTTTCCCTCAGCCGTAAAAGAAACTGCACACATAGTATGACGTACTTCTTCACTACACTATCGTGTATGCCCATACGTTTTAATAATTTGTCTTCCATATATTTTAGGCAGTACCCGTCTATCTCATTTCGTACAAAAATTTCTATCGCCTTTTTTGGAACTCCGATAAAAAAAAAAAAAAAATTTAATTCAAATACATCCCAGTATACGCAGTTCTGTGCACATGACAGGCATTTTTTCTTCTTCTTCTTCCTTAACCATCCTGGAAGCATACTTTCTATTTCTTTGCTAAGCTCATCATCACTCGTTTGCTTCAAAAATGGGTTACTATTACCGTTACCCTTTTTGTGCTTAACGTTCTTCGTGTCATGTGCAATTGTCTCTATCTCTCGACTCCCTCCCAGAGAACGCCTGCTAACGGAGCCATCGCTCACGCAGCTTACACTTCTGATAGTGTCCTTACGGTCGTGATTATTGACGCCCACTGCATTGGTCTTTCCCCTCCTGCGGAATGTGCCACCACTCATACCACTGATTCTATTACTACCGCCGCTCGCTCTACTCTCCCCCCCGAGGGTTTGCCCCATCGTCTCACTTTTTAACTGGGTGACGGCAACACGGGGTGCGCGAGAGAAATTCCTGTCGCTCCGCCCATCGTCCGCACAGCCATCCACTCCCATGGAGTCCTCGCTTTCCATGTTGCTCACCACGGTGGGAGTTTCCATACTTTGCTGGCTGAACTCGCTGTTATCGAGTTTGCCCTCATCCCCAATGCCACTGGCGCTTTCCTTCCCGCGGCTGTCCTCCTCCTTCCCCACTACGTATGTCTCATTTCCTTCTTCCTGCTCTCCCATCACGCAAATGCCATCCTCGGCAGTGGCTTGGTCCCGTAACTTATCACCCACTGTGCTAATCAAAATTGCGCAGCTACACATGACACGATCCTCATTGTTGGGAAGTTCCTCCCTCTTCTCAAGCAAATCCGTTTCGTGAATAACTCCTCTACCCCTAACATGCGCCAAGTTATTGCTGCATCCACTAGCATCACGAGTTACACTTCCCTCACATGTCTCCAACTTGCCTTTCTCTGTATAACGCATGGTCTCCTCATTTGCGGGGTAAAAGATGCCATCCACAGCCTCTTCATTGGAGATATCATTTACCCATTTATTTTTGCCAAGAGGTTCCATCAGCATCTTTTCCATTTCCAAATGTTCAAACTTGTTGTGAATTGTTTTAATGAGAAAGTTATTAGTTTGTTCCTTTTCTCGCTTTAAACTGGGTGATTCGTCACTTGGGCCATTCTGTGCAGACGTGCCACATGGGAGTTTACTCTTTCTACGATTAGGGCAAAAATTATTCCTGTCTTTTTTCTCCTGCACGTTTTTTAACGTACTTTTTAGGAGCTTCTCCCCTTTGCTCTCCCCAATGTGTACTTCCTTTTTATGTACAGAATGGGTAAAGAGCTCGCTAGCATTTTCCCTCTTTATTTTTTTCATCAACTGTTGGTAAAAGTGGACGTAGCTGAAAATGTTGTACTTGTACTGGTTCTCTATGAACGAATGCATGTCTCGCTCTCTTTTGCTCTTCCCAGTCTGTTCGGAATTGCTACTGGAGGGACTTTCTTCTTCAGCGGCGCCTCCGTCAAGGGACCCCCCATCTGTTGCATTATCGTCACATTCGCACCCCTTGGTTGCTCCCTCTATTGTGACCTTATCTCTTCTGCGCGGACGCTCTTTGTGCGTCCCCCCCTTGTCCCTTCCTTTCTCCTGAGAAGGCGCAGCCAATCTGTACTTGTCACATTTGGGCGGAAAATTATTAACCGAGGAAAATAAAATATCTTTATAAATCATTTCGTTCCTCAGAAATATGCAGCTGTACATAGCGTACGTGTTGTAGTCAATTAAAATTCCATTTCCATGTCTTTTCCCTTCTTTGTACCCCCCTATGTATATATATCTATTGTCATGAAGGCAGATATTTCCCTTTGCGAATTCGTCTTCGCTATTTTCGTCAGCATTTTTTTTTCCCTGTTTGTAACTATGGCTGTGCAAGCAGCAGAGAAGCTCCGACCCAATCAAATGTTTCAGGTCGTTCTGGAACAGCCCCTCGTATTTGTTTCCATTGTTGTTAATTGTGATTCCCCATCCGTTTTTTTTTTTATTTTCTATACCTCCTATGTACACGCCTCTGTTTGTTTTTAAGTAACGATATTCCCATTTTGTTCTTGTTCCCATGTCATTTTTCTTGAATTTTGTGGCAACTTTTCCCTTTTTTTTTTTCCACAACACATTTTACTTGTTATTGTTACGTCCTCTGTAAGCATACGCAAGAGGGTCCTCGCACAAGCGTAAATTGCGTCACACCACGTGCCTACCTGGGTATGTAAATATGTGTATACATATGCATGTATATCTATGCATATGAATACCTTCCCCCTTGGCGCTTGCAATATGGCCAAAATGGGTACCCTCGTGTGTGAGTGCGGATGCTAATGCAGTTACAAATGATGCCTATTTTGTGCAAAGCTCTATCTGCTTAAAACTCGCACAGTTGTGAAACTGTTTAAGGCTGTCCCCAAAGGTGCGGACGATTATCTCCTCTATTTGCCCTATTCTGAACTACGTTGTTCCTTTATTCCGCGCAAACGCTTCTATCCTTCGAATATCAAAAGGTGCTAACTTTTGCAGTGTTGCGATTGTTTGCTCATAAAAAGCCAAAAAATGTTATGAACAAAGCTAAAATTGTCATACTTTTTTACCTGAACAGCAAGGAACAAAAAAAAAAAAAAAAAAAAAGCTAGTTAAAACGTTTTAAACGCAGAACACGGTGAATAAGTTATATCCCCAAACAGGGGGGCACTACTACAAACGTCACATTTAAAAAGCAAAAAAAGTGTACTCATAGCAATCAAACGCTAAAAAAAATTTGCCACGATTTGACAAAAAATGCATTTTACATCCTCTGTGATAGAACGCTTAAGGAATGATTTACACATGATACACGTCACGTCACATTACGTCAAGAAAAAAGGAAAAAAAAAAAAAAAAAACGAACAGCAGAAGCTACCCCTATGCAAGGGTAATGAACACTTGCTAGGCTAATCATTTAAACGGCAGCCCTATCCCCCTTTTTTTTCTAAACACATCCTATTTTGAGAACAGCGTGGCACAGACGCAATAAAATGGGCACATATATATGTGCAGTTCTTCAAACAGCTTTTGCCATTATGTTGTTGCTTTGCGTATACAGGCGCATATTTCGTGAAAAGAACTGAAACTCACTTGGCCATGTATACATTTGCATGACCTGTACCACATTTTAAAACACCCATGATAGGAGTAAATTTAAGTTTATGTTGGAAAAAGCATATACAATACATACACTGTGCACTCCTTCCTGTACGTGTCAAAATGGTTGTACGCAATCACGTGTGTGCATCTCACCCACCTTATTTTTATCAACCCCCGGGAAGCAGTTCCACATGGTATTCAATTAAGCTGGAGGAAAGACCCCTTCATGCAGAAAGTTACTTTCCTTTTTTTGTACTACAAATTTTCTAATACTTTAAAAAAAAAATTAAAATAAAACACAAAATGTTTCGCTTTCTTTTTACGTATTCCTCAAAAAGTGCAAGAAATATTTTAATTAATAAAAAAAAAAAAAAAAACACACAGCAGTGGGGTAAATACAAAAAAAAAAAAAAAAAGAAAATTTCATCGCACAGTTGTAAGAGTTGTCAGCCGCAAAAACATGCAACATTTATGCCCACACATCATTGCGATAGTGATGACAATAGTGCTGGCAGTGGCGACACGAGTAGGGAGCGCAAATATATACACACAAATAAAAGTGCGAATAAAGACGCACCAGGTAGCGAGACCAACTTGGCCAGCCAACCTGCGTCAGAACAAGTAACCATAATACTTGGCCTTTTTGTACCTTTTCTGCAAATGTTCTGAAAAAACAACAAACAAATCAGAAAAATTATACAAAATTTTTGCAGTCAGGGAGAGGGAATATATTCTACAAACACTTTCCAAATAAACAATTTTTATTTTTTTAAAAAAAATATATTTTCTGAATAACAGGGAAAATGCAACAGGCAGACATGTTCCTGGGCCATTCATCATTAACACTTTCATGTTATTCATTCTGTATGTTAAAAATAAACAATAAATGAATGCAACAAATAGTTTCATGGATGACCGTATGTACGATTCACCAACATTTCGACATCTTGGAATTGCAAAGAAATCCTTTTTGTATTCCTTTAAAGCATTTTCTGCCTTTTCCCTACTTAATGGGTCATTATTTGCGTAAAAAAAGTGAAAACTTATGTTGCCATCTTTGATGAGCTTCAATATCTGTAGCATCTCGAATGTGTGACCTCCGGAGCCCAGGACCACTCCAATTTCGACAGGACCATTTTGTCTTTCGCTTGTACTATAACTCAGTCTATTTTTGAACAGGGTAAAAATGAAGCACACAAAAAAAAATGCGTTTAAACAAGCCACAGCGGGCAACATGTTTTTTTCTTCTGTTTCCTCCTTTGCCTTATGTGCGTTATTTTTTGGAGGTATCCCATAGCTTTACAGTGCCATCATTCTGATGCATAAAAGGGAGAGGGGAAAAAAACAAACAGTGAGTGGTCAATATGGGTATGTACACTTCCCCGTACGGAGCAAAAAGGGTACAACTCACGTTTTACTTAAGGTGTAAATATGACCCTTTCCTTCGCGGTTGCGCATAGGCATGCATAAGTTTAGTGTGTACGTATACACGAATATACACACATGAGCATATGCGTTTGTTGATACTCCCCTTCTCCGCCCTTTGCGTCGTGCTCGAGGTCGAGCTCAAGCTCTGAACTTACCGCCCATGTAACAAAACGGGATGTGCCTGGCATGGGGAGGACTCCAAATATCTCACCCTGGTGGGCATCCATTATTTTGTGTACAAACTAATAAAAAGAAGGGGTGTACATGCATATGTAACAATTTTTGTGGTATTTATTTTTTACGGCCCACGGCATGTGCACTCTTTTTTAAATGGCGCACCGCAACTTTGTGTGAGCATGCTCGTTCCCCTAGGGGCTAAGACGAACAACGCGAACCTGTAAATCATCTTGCTTCAGAATTATCACATTGCACCCAGAAGTTGCGATGATGTGGTTGGAGTCACCCGATAGGCCTAGCGTAAAAAAAATGGGTAAATAATTATTTTATGAGAAAAAAAAAAAAAAAAAAGGTCATATAACTGTAAAGCCCGGGGGACATATAGGTGGTGGTGGGAGGAGAAGTGAGGTGGCCTTACACATTCGGGAGAAATCTTCCAAGTGGTATTCCTTCAAATCCTTTTTGTACAAAATTTTAGACTCCTCTTGAAGCTGCAAGAAGAAAGTGGAAAGAATTACGTTGCAGTGGCAAGGAGGGGACACGCACGCATGTACATGTGCAAGTAGATACTTGCTCACATATGCATGCACAGAAATGCTGTCTTACCTTATAGCGCACGTTCAAATTGTACGAAGCGAGAATTCCATTTTTGTCAATTAGGAATGCCTTTTCCTCGTCGTCGCTGAAGCAGACGCACTTGGTGCCCGAGCTGGTTTTTAAATCCATGACCTTGTCGATGCTGTGGAAGTTATTTTCCTTTTGCTTTATCTCAAATATTTTGATGTCCGGGGACCAGCAAGCGACTCCGAAGAATCTGCAGGGGGAAATACAGTGTGTGTGTGTGTGTGTGTGTAGGGAATGGGGACACGAACAAGCGCAAGTGCAAATGTGGTTGTCCCCCCCCCCCCGCCTGTGGCCCAATGCGGGAACACCCCAAGCACTAACCTAGCCATCTTCGAAACCGCATAGTCGTAATTATAAACCTGTTTGATGCTGACGATTTTTAAAAGGTCCCCCTTCATGTCCCAGATCTTTACCTCCGTCTCATCCAACTCGGATCCCGTAATTATAAAAGAGTTTTTATGCATGTACAGAAATTTCACGTCTTTCTTATGCAGTTCCTTTTTCCCTTCCAGTGAGGGACAAATGCTTTTGATACTTCTTTCTACTTTTCCTATTTTAAATATTCTTAGCGTTGAATATAGTTCAGTCACCGCTGTCAGATGTGTTGCCTCTTCGTTTATGGCTATGCAGCTGTACACCTCGTCTAGCTTTTTGCTCAGGGTGATTTTGTTTGAGCCATCTTTGCCGATCTTGTGGAATTGCAAGTTGCCGTTGTTGCAGCTGATGGCGATGGTTCCTACGAGGGGGGTGGAGCAGTAAATCGGGGTGGAAATGCACCATGGAAGAGTGACGGGGCGGCCAGCTCAGACTAACTCCTAATCACAACGCAAAGCGCCGTAATGCATGGTAAAAAAAAAAAAAAAAATCGCTGCTGACTGTCACTACAATGCGCTCCTCTTTTTTTCCACCTACCACATTCTCCATTTACGCATACACTTACGGGGTAGTTATTACCCTTTAGGGCAACCACATTTTTATCAAACATGACATGGGGAGTGCTGCTGGTTACACTTTTGGCAGTACCACTACCTGTTTGTTTTTTCTGTTTAGGGGCTTCTTTACTTTTTCCCTTAACTTTGTCATTGTGCTTTTGGATCGGTTTGGCATTTCCACTTTTATCCTTCAGGGCTCTTAGCAGTATTGTGAGAACGATGAGCAAAATGCTGATCAGGATTAGCATTCCCGTCATTTTTGGTGGACACAGGGCAGAGAGAGGCTGCTTTAAAAAAGGGCTCGTCTTTTACTACTAGTGGATGTGGCAAACTATAGCACGTCGCCACTCCTAACACCCTGATTTATTATCCTTACCACCTCCCCTGTGCAACTTGTGCCTTTAACAAACGTGAGCTTAAAAATTGCAAAGTCGAGATGTGAGTCTCCAAGTGGGAAGGGGTGCCCTCACACATTATCTGTTTCCTCCCCCCCAATTGAGCAGACACTTGCAGGAGGGTCCCTCGCACGTTTGCCGTTCGTTTGGCACTTCTTTACACTTTTTTTGCACTATATTTTCTCACTTTTTATAACACAGTTGCTGGCAATTTATTTTCTCTCCTCTTTAATGGCAATGGACCGGACCCTCTTCATGTACCCAAGTAGGATGTAACTTAAATTAAATTTTTAACAAAAGGGGGGAAAAAAAAAAAAGGGTTAATAAAAAAAAAAAAAAAAGTTGTGGTATGTTCCCCCACCCCCCACAAGGTCACTGTGGGTGCGTGCAAAAATACACGCAACGACTGCACGGTGTAGAAAAGGGAACGGAACGGGAAGAGGCGGTACAGGAGCGTGAAAAATGGAAAAGCCGCAAATCCGTTCTTGCCCAAGCTGCAGCTCGTTAAAATTGCTCTAAGTGTGCGCGGAAATTAAAAAAAAAAAAAAAAGTAAAGTGGTGCACCCAACGGAATTGCCCAAAGGGGGGAGAATACACCATGTAGCCTAAACGAAAAAAAAAAAAAAAAAAAAAAAAAAAAAAAAAAAAAAAAAAA